AATTGTAAGTATTATTTTGAACATTTGTTATGAATTTTATAGTTAACTTGACTATTCTTATTTGGAATAATTTGTGACCGTATTTTATTTTTCATTAATAATATTTTTTAGAGCTTTGATTTTTGATATAGCTGGATATGATGTTAATTTGATGTGAATTAAATGTTGTTGCAGGTTGTGAAAATGTAATTAATCTTTTGAATTTTTTTTCTGTGGTATAGGTTTGCATCGGATATACATCCTTTTTGCATTGAATAATTCAATGCTAAATTGAAAATATTGTTTCTTCGATATTATCCGCAGCAAATTTGATGGTAATTCGACGTTTTTTTTTTGTCCAATATTTTCAGACGCAAAGCTCGATGCAAGTGTAGCCTAAACAAATATGACGCTATTACGACGTAAGAACTAACACAAAATCTTTGCATTGAAATATTTAAATGCCAAATGGCTGAAATTAACATTACCGACTCCCGATTTATCTGCAGAATAAATTGAAGGTAAATCTGATGCAATTCTGACAATAAATCCTAAATATCATTCGATTTGCATTATACTTGGCCGATGCAAATTCACTTAATTCTTGTAGAGATTGTTGCTTGTAGGAGCATGTCATCTACATGGATAATTAGATATATTTGGTTGTCCTTCTAGTGAAAAATGAAGAGTGAAAGGTCTGCGGTACTGTCATGATACCCAAGCTGTAGTAATTAGTGTGGGGCTTGCTTAAGACCATATATGGTTTTCTTTAATTGAAAAACATACTCAAGTTGTTGTGGATCTTTGAAGTCGGGTGATTGTGCCATATTTACTGTCTCTGATAGTGTACTTTGAAGGAATGCATTAGATATATAGAAATTTTTGCAATTGGACTGAATGTTTCATAATAATCTGGACTGAATATTGGGCAACTATACACGTTTTGTATCTAGCTATAGAGCCATCTGAATAAAATTTGGTATTGTATGTCCACTTGTTGCCTGAGACATTTTGAGAAAGATGAGATAAAACAAGTGTTTAAGTAACTTGTTATTTAGGGCATTTTGCAGCACATGAGTACCAAGTGAGATCAAAGGGTGGCAGGGTAGTATTATTGAAATTAAAGATAGTCCTGGCTTTTAGAGATCCAATTTTTGGCTGAGTTACCCTAAGATGATGTGAATGAGGTGGAGGGACTGTTATTAGTGGTGATGAAGTGTTTAATGAGGTGGTTGAATGTTGTGAAGTAGTTGGAGTGACATGTTTTGTAGCAGAAGGAGATAGAAAGGAGGATATTGTGATGTACTGAGGTAATTATGGTGGATGTGGAGGTAGGAACTAATGTTAGTGGTGGAGCATATCGAGGAGGTGTAGCTAATGAGTTGGATGATGGAGTTGTATAAAATGGAAACGCGGTTTCATGAATGGTAATATGGCGTGAAAAGATTATGTTGCCAATGTTGAAGTCTAGACATTTGTAGTCTTTGTGAGATGGGGAGTGGGGAGTGGGGAGTGGCCGATGAATCACACATCATGTGGGCTTTTGGGTAGTTGATGAGTTAAATTGGGAGGGAATAATGAAGAGAAAAAAAAAACGGCAAAATGTTTTAAGAATGGAGTAGTTCGAGGTTTTTGATATAATTGCTGGTGGGATGATTATCTATAGGTGTTGGGTATATGTGATGAATAAAATAGGTGGTTGTTAGAAGAGTGTCCACCAAAAGGTACGAGAGAGTATTGGCTTCAAACATGAGCGCCTAAGTTGTTTCAAGTAGATGCTTATGTTCCATTCAATCATCTCATTCTATTCAAGCATATAGGGACGGCTGCGGTGATGAGAGATTCCATGATTGGATGAGTAGTTTTATAGTTGGTTGTTCACAAATTCACCTTCACCATCCATGTCTAATATTTTTATTTTGGTATTGAACTGGCCTTCAACCATTTGTTGGAATTATAGAAATTTCGCTAGTGATTCATATTTATGTTATAATGGATAAAGCCATGCATCTGCAAAAGAGATGTAATAATGTAATCCTTGTTTAAAAAAAGAATTTGAGGAAGGACCCCAAAAATCAGAATGGATGTGTTCTAAGGTCGCATACAACAATTTGAGGAAGAAGAGAAGGGAATTTTAAGCATCTTTGTGATATTACTCTATGTACATTAGAACGACTTTGTATTGATGCATATTTTATGAATATTGTTTACTAGTAAGGAGAGTGTAGTTAAAGCTGGATGTCCCAATCTGCGATGCCAAAGAGGGTGTTGAAGGCAGAAATTTTATTGAGTGCTGTTGAAGATGTGGATGATTGATTCTGTGAAGAAGTTTTAAGAGGATAGATTTCGTACCAACAAGATCTCTCAAGCATTATCTTACTGGTTTTATTTTTAGTGATTTGGAAGCCATGAGGATTGAATGTCTTGAACAACAATTGTTGGCAATAGGTTGTACAGATAAGAGATTGTCAGTTAGATGAGGAATAAGTAAAAGGCTATGAAGATGTAGCATACTGAAGGTTGTAGGGATGTGGCCATATCCTAAATTGGTGATTCGAAGTGATGGCACATTGCCAAAATAAAACTTGATCATTTTAGTAGGGTGTATTTTGACTGATGTTTGCTATTTTTGTTGTTAGAAGATAAGTTGCACTAGAATCAAAGTACCTACTATCTGAGCTGGAGGAGTGAGTAGTAATTAGTGCTTTGGGATTGGATGTATGATTGATCTATTTTAGATCTAATCTATGCTAGCAGTTTACTGCTGCGTGGCCCCTTATTTCTTCAAATCTGACATCCTACGGACTAATTTGAGCTTGACTTTGCCGAGATAGAAAAGCTACACTTAGATCTGTGTGAGCTGAATGGAGGACATCCTCTGCTACACGTTTCTACTGCATCCTCTGTCTTTCATTGCCACTAGAGTTTGTTGTGGATCTAGTGAGTTGATGTATTATACTTTTGTTGCTTCCTGAATTAAATTGATTTCTTCACTGTATGGTAATGAGTAATGGTCGAGACTAAATTCGTCAAAGATAAGTGTGAATTGCTATTTTGAATGCCTGAAAACTGGATTGCAATCCATTAAGAGTAACAGCAACAACAAAGCCTTAATCCCACTACGTGGGGTCGGCTACATGAATCCTTTTTCTCCATTGCATCCTATTTAGAGTATAAAGTATAATTTCTGCAGTGTCAAGAGGGGAATCAGCTGGTGCAAGTGTATTCATTTTGGCTTTGATGTTGGAAAGATAATGGGTCATGGTGAGCTCTTTCATTGTAATGTTGTGAAGTTCGTTCTCAGTTGATGAATTCTAGACTGATTGGACGATTTAAGTTTTCTTCTCTTTGTTTTCCATACAACAGTGCAAGAATCAAGTTCAAGTAGACAAGGGAGTAAAGCGGGTGATATGGTGGAGTATAATGCAGCCGATAGATTCTGCTCTATAAGAATCCACTGCCGAAATGCTAGATTTAGAGTACGAATCCTATCTTCTGAAGTGATCTGTTGAGCTAGACAGATTGTTGAACCTTCTAAACAACCTTCAAAGCTGTTTGCACCAAAATAATTTGAAGACTTGGGATCCACATTGGGTGATTTTCGATTGAAAATTTATTTTGAACAATGTTTTTGATGCTGGACATCAAGAGCTTGTGAAGAAGGGATAGATTGACTTGCAATTTGATATGTCAGTCAGAGATGTTGGTGGTTGATGTTGCTGAGTGTTTCATGATCCTTTTAGAGTAGAAAATAATGTGTATTTTAGAATAGATGATTTTACTAATTTCAGCAGATTGGATTTACCCTGGGGCAGGTATCTCTGAAACCATGTAGAATCGGAATAGAGGAAGAAGTCTGGAATGGAGAATTCAGTAAAGATGTTCTATGGAGCAAGTAGTACACCAGAATATCTCTTTACTACGAAATCTTCATACAGTGAATTACATATACAGGCCTTATATAGATGAGGTAGAGGCTAGAGTTTCTTATGGTGATAAAAAGTCTCTTATGCTGTTCTGAATTCTGTCAGAGAGAATATTCTGCTGTAAATGATTTGTTATCTATTATAGTTGTAATAATTAACATTTATCGGGTTGCTAAAAAATGCATCAACAACATAACAAGAATTTCCTTTAATTAAAGGGGGAAATTAAAATATGCTGCAATATTTTGGGCATATAAGCTTAGATTCAATTTTTACAAAAATTTAGAGCTAATAGAATGTTGAGATCCAGAAGGGCAAGCAAATCAGATTCCAGACGAGTCGGGGCAGCACTGTTTCTACAAAAAATGAGGGATGAAAGCACACAATTTTAAAGTAAATTAAATAAAGTTATTAACTTGGGCAAGGCATCAAAGATGTTGACAGTGATTGGCACTGCAAATACTTGAAATGAAGATGAAAAGTTGAACGATAAAATACTGAATCATTAGTTTTCAAATTTCTGAGGTTTATCACTATAGATAAACTAAATATTTAAAACCCAAGCAGAAGAAGTCAGAAACTAAAAATAGAGATGGATCTCGGCTGTTAGATAAAATGGAAACAGCTCCCATTGCAATGGGCATTATCTATTCTAAAATGACTACTCCGTCTGCTTCTATGCAAAACTAGTTGAATTTCCAAGGCAGAATAGAATTACCAACTTCATTAATGGCCGAACTGAACTAAATCAGAATAAAAACAACACAAAGCTTGAAATTCAAATAAAAATGAATAAACCAACGTAAACATGTCCATGTGAGAATAGCAAATAAATTACATATCAAAGAGCCAAAAGAAAATTTAGCATAATTGAGAAAATGAGAACAGTCAGAAAAAAAAAATTCAAATAAGAAACTTGAAGGTTCAATTTTTAGATATAAAACAAAGCCCTTGTGAGCATCAAGATAAAACAAACTACAAGGAGAAAACCAATCCATCCAATAGAAAAACACGAAAAGCACCATAATATTACCAAAATTAGACCTAAGATGAGATCCTTGAAACAAAAGAACCAAATAAATTGAAAACAATTACCAATTCCGGCCGAGAATCTCATCTGCGCGGTATCCAGTGGCCTTCACGAAGATGGGATTGACATATATAACAGGGAAATCTGGCTCCAACGCGTCGGCGACGACAAAAGAAGCCGACGGACAGATTTCCGGCTCATAGTAGTAAAGCCTTAAAGCCTCAATCTCCTCTTTCTCTTCTCCCACTTCCCAACACATCTCAATCTCGTCTTCCATTGAACACTTCAAGCGCTTCTTCCAAAAGTTTTCACCTTTGCAGGTCCCTCCTCCTCTTCTTCCTTCGATTCCCATCTCCCCCACACTCCCCCTCTCTCCCTGCTTCTCTTGGTGACAATTATGGGAAGCTGGCCGCCGAAAGTTTCTTTTTTTATAGAAATGGAGGGTGAATCCGAATGTGCCAGCTTCACCGCGAATTCAACCACACGGTAGTTAGAAATATCTGGGCAGGGCCCTACGATGTGACGTCTTCCGTGCAAATGCTTATGAAAACTTTGGGCCATGCAGGGAACGATGTGGATGATATCCAAGTCTTCTGCCGAAGATATTTAGTTAGGAGACCTTCACTTGAACTAAAATGAGCATAGTATATTCTAGAGATTAAAATTTTAAAAATTTGTCCAGTCTAAAAAAAAAATGCTTTGAAAGATTTTAATGAAATTTAAATGATTTTTTTTTTCATTTTTAGTATATTTTAATTTTTTTATATTTATTTGAGTTCTAAATGCATTTTAAATTATAATGATTCTTGTCTCTAATAATTGTCATTAGTCGTCACAACCACTTCTCGCCACCACAGATCATTGTCATTGCCACCGCCAACTCCATTGCCAATCACTACCATCAATTGCCACTACTATCGACCACCATCGCCTTCCGGTGTTGGTCGCTATCACCACTATTATCGTCAGTCGGTGCCAACATAATCACCGCTCTTACCATCTGTAACTACCACCACCATATGTTTCACATTGATTTTATAAACTCATATATTTGGTTTGTCAAATCAAACAACCTGAAAGTTTTCTAAATTTTAATATCATTATATCAATTTTATAGCAAACCAAACGAAGCCCTTAATCTAATACATTACTTAGGTATTCATTTATGGCAATGATAAATACTTGAAGCGATAAATAACATGTCAACTTATAATGAAACAGTTTCATGTGAATCGTAATTTGAAAAGTTTAATAGAAATCAATGTTCAACACACACGCGCGCACACACACAGAAAGATTGATATATATATATATATATATATATATATATATATA